AAGCTGTTTTAAAGTCTATACTCTGACCACAGGAAGCCAGTGCAAGGACCTGATGACCGGACTAATAATGGTCGTACATCTCTGTTCTAGTCAGGACTCGAGCTGCTGCATTTTGAATGTACTGCAGCTGTTTACAGCCTGTTTGGACAGACCTGAGAGCAGTCCATTGCATCAGTCCTAACCTAACTGGAGACAAATGCATGATAAGATCTCCAAGTCTGCTTTAGACACTATGTTTTTGATCCTGGCAATGTTTTTAAATGGTAAAAATCTGCAGATGTCCTGATTTGATGTGTGCTATTAAAATGTAAGTCTGAGTCCTCAGTATTACCCCTAAGATTACATGACCTTGAATGAAGGTTTTAGGGAAGAGACTGTAGGAACAGATGACCTCTCATCTTTTTTCCCTGGGGACCAAAGACAATCATTCAAGTTTTGTCTGCGATTAGCTGAAGGAAAGTTGTTTTGCATCCACTCACTGATCATTGGATACAGTGAAGGAGTGAGTCACTGGTCCATTTCTCACTGCATCAGTGAGACAAAAACTGAGTGTCGTCTGCATAGATAGATTAGAAACTTGTTTCTGCGTATTAACTGACCTAACGGCAGCATGTAGAGATTGATCAGAAGAGGTCCAGATCGACCCCCTGTGACTCCACAGGTCAGGGCCATATGATCTGAACACAGTTTCCAATCTCCACAAAGTACTTCCTGTCCCAAGTAAGACCTAATCCACTTAGTGCCGGAGCCAAGCACTCACCCAGTCCTTCTAATCTCTGTAGGAGGTCTCATGTCGACGTGCAAGGCAGAACTAGATCAACAAATTAAGATTGAGACTTCGCCTGTCGTCAGTGTTCAGCCGATTATCGTTTGTAAACTTGACGAGAGCAGTCTCAATGCTGTGGTGGGGTCAATAGCCGACTGAAAACATATCAAATGAGTGTGATCATAAGAAATCTAGTAAGCTGTATGTAGACACTTTTTCAAGGACTTTCCCCGCTAGACAACATGGCAGTTGAGATGGACGATAGTTGTTAAGTTACCGTAGCATCGGAGACTGCTCTTTTTTAGCAGGGGCCTGATGACTGCAGTTTTCAGGGCCTTTGGAATATTTCGCAGAATGAAGGGACATGTTTACTATCTGTTAAGTGAAGTACAGACGAACTCAGAACAGACTCTCAGAAATCAAAGGATATACATCCTACTGCATGTGGAGGAGCTCAAACTGGAGATTATCTCTTGGACAGTTTTATCATTTACAGTGCAAAGTGAGTTAGCTCAGAGAGCCTTCTGGCAGTTGAAGGTTATCTGTGGATTGGAGACAAGGGCGTTTTTGATGCCTGAACCTTGTCATTGAAAAAATTAGCAACCCATTGCATTTACGATGAAGTAACTCTAATGGCATTTGAACATGGGGTTTGTTTAATCATTACCTGTTGAAAACAGAACACGCAGATGTTGCTGCAGCCTTCAATCATTTCAGAAAATACCTTTTCTCCGACTACGTCGCACCCGGTTAAACTCGCACAACGTAACTAAAGATCCTCGTAATCAACCTGGAGGATATGACTATGCCCCACTTCCGCTCGCCCTCCCGCACTTTCTCTTTTGAGCCCTGACCGAGTTCCTGCTATAGGCCCACGCGCCTTCTGCTTATTTTCACTATTTAAACCTTCACAGGGGCAACGGTTATCCAGAACATTCAAAACACTAGAGGTGACAGAGTAAAACAGTTCATCTACAGTAGAATACCGATGCATTCTCAAAGTTTATCATTCCCATAAATATTCCCTCGTAATTTCATTATGTGTCTTCTTCGTACAGTTGCGAGAGTCCACTGGTGAATTGTTAGTGAACCCCATGTCTAAAAAAACACAGAAAATGATCCGAAAGAGCAACATCAGACCCACGTTTACATTTGAAATATCACCCCCTTAGTACTAACAAGAACTCGAGTGTGCCTCTGCCTGTGTGGGCCCACTATAACGTGCGAGTGGATCAAAGGATTCAATACAGAACTCAGCATCATTTGCATGTCTGTCATCAACAGTTCCACATGAATATTAAAATCACCTGAAAAAACAAACAATCAAAATCTGTGCATACAACTGAAAGCCACACGTAAATTTCAAGTAAACTGTGACATACTGCGGTGGCTTGTATAGTACAACGAAAAGTATTGAGGAGATTGTTTTTTGTTGTATTTTAAAAGACACATATTCAAAAGACAAAACTACCAGGACAATTCTATGGGAGACAAAGTGTCGCTGAAAAAGCAGCTAAGCTCTCCTTTCTGTTTTCACCGAATTTCAGATTCAAACTTGAAATTTGGTGGTGATGCGTCCTATTAAAACAGCATTTCCTGAATTTTGGGTCAAGCCAGTTTCAGCCATGAACAAAAGAGCAAGATTATGGAGAACAAAATAAAATTATTGATTAAAAAAGACTTGTTACAAAAGATCTGACATTAAGCGGAGCAAGTTTCAAAGTTTCAGTAAACAGCGTTGTGTCGGCGATTCTTACACGGAACCAAGAATTAGATGTTCCAGAATAGACTTATTAACTCCCAGATCTTTCTGATAAATGTATTCTTTGTGTTATCACTAAGGGAATGGACAGGTGGCTTCATGACAGGGCCCCAGCCGGGTCTCTCCTCTAACTAGACCAGCCATTGGCTGCGAAGCGAGACCCAGTGCATCCTAGTGTTTAGAAAAAGATGGGAAGGTGAAGGCGTGGAGGAGGATGGAGAGGTGGGTGGCTTTAGGTGTTGAACGAGGGGGGGCAGGGAGGTGGAGGGGTTTTTGGTTGATGGCGTTAGGGCGTGGGGTGGGCTGATGGCAGAGGTTTTGGGTGTCTGAACGAGGGGGAAGTGGTGGTGTGAATGGTCATGAGGTTAGGGTGAGGGACTGGCTGTAGGGGGTTTTTGTTAGGTGAATTGGAACCTCCTAGGTGGGTTTTGGAGGTACATTATGGGAGTGGTTTAACAGGTTGACCAGCTCTAATCTATCTAATATGGTTGTGACTTCATCGCCGATTTTATTAGCCTAGATGGCGTCACCATCAAACACCTGAGTGAAGTGACGCGGGAGAAAAGCGGTTACCGCCATCTACTCCCCACACCGGGTCCCGCTCCTAGCACAATACCAATCAAAATGCACAACTTGCAAGTCCTTTACTTTACACCAGTGGTCCCGACCCACCGGCACCACGTTAGAGCGACACCCGCCGTTGCCGCCGTCTCACCGGAACGCCAGCCGCGCTCTTCCAATTTCTTCTTCCCAAGTTGTCATAGTGCCCTTTCCTTTAACGCCCTATGCTGATCTCACCCTTTGCATTCGCTCTATTGCATTCTTCTGAGTTCCAGTCTTCATCCGCGCAGTTGGCAGTGACTGCACCAATATCCCACCGCCAATCTCCCATGTGTAGGCCTACGGGAGCGAGAGAAGCCTTTTGACGGCGCACCAGACTGACATTGGCCCCTTCCACACCCGATACCCTTGTATCCATCCCAGCGTTGCACCAACCCGAGCTGGAGACAGGCTGCTGTTACCTTGTCTCCTACACGCACGGCCGAGGAAACCCGCGCGATGTCATGTTTGTTTCTTTGGAGTCTACAGCCAAGGCATCAGCTCGTTGCGACCCCCCGGCGGACTGAATGAAGGACAGCGTCGGAATGAACCACGTTTTGGCACCTGGGAGGGGCGGGGCTGAGGAGGTTTATTTATGAATTTCTTTATTCTTATTTTTGTCTTGTGGCTGTATATGATCGTGTATCTCGGGGTGTAGACCGCGTGATGCACCGCAGCCCATCTACGTTAGGCCTGTCCTGACCGATACTTGCTCCTACAGCTTTATGATGATGGCCGTGTTGAGTTTCAGCAGATTCCCACTAGCGCTGCCCCTCTCTCCCTGACAGGCTGAGAGGTTAACAAACACTCAAATACCACATACAGATGTAGATGAAGAGAGCGCATATACCCCCCCCCCCCCCTTCAGTCCGTGACGCGAGGCGAGCAGGGCCGCATCGGGGGGCCATAGCTAGCCCCAAACAGCCTCCACACAAGCTGTCGGAGCGTGGCACGGAGCAGGCCCGGTATCCATCGCCTGTGCAGGAGCCTCCTACAACAACCCGAGAACGATCATATACCGCCGAAGACCCAACTCATCCACAAAACACATTCCACCCTATAAACCCCACCTAGCCATCCCTATCCCGAATAACCGTGGTTCCATACGAGAGTTTACTACCGTCCGAAGGGGTGCGCCCCCGCGAGAAGCCTTATGCATAGTGACTTCACGACACCAACTGCGATGCGCGGGTTTCATAGCCTTGGAGCGGCGAGCGGGCAACGCGCAGCCGTATGCTTACCCGCTAGGGTCCGAAGCCGCGTAGGATTGAGTAAACCAGTGAACGGTTGGCCGATAGGCAGAATCCCGATGGAGCCTTTACACAGTTCATCAAGCTATAATCCAGACACAGAGGCACATTCTATATAAATATTGCCTACCCTCCCCCAAGCAGATAAACGCCATCCATACGGGTGAATACAGCACTCGGCAGCCATACACAAGGGAGCGAACGCCGGCGGCGAACGCTGCCAGCGGGTCCTGCCCCTTGGAAGAGCAGCAAGGAAGGCGCGCGGGCTGGCGAACCGGAGCAAGCGTGGGCCAGGGGGGATGATTTCACTACGAGTGCCGAGGTACGTGCGCCCAAGTGATGAAGTCGACGGTCATTGTCCACAGTTATTTCAAAAAAATACAATTACAAATGGAGCGTGACCAGACACGGTTGGGGCGGAAGCAGGCGGGTACCCGCCATTTTACTACACGCGACCAACCCTAAGAGATGAGAAGGTGCCGCCACGCTAGCATGGTAGGAGTGGTCCGTTATTATGATCTGATTTGCAAGCCATCTTCCATACGCCACATGTCCGTTTTCATCTAGGGACGAGGTAGTAACCCAGCGCCGATCAGCGCGTGTGGCCGTGCCGGCAATCGCAATGCCACCCGCCGCTAGTCCGACCCCCCCCCGACAAACCACCACCCCCCGCCCGATGCCAGAGGTGGAGATCCCTGCGCCCAAGATGTCCTGAAATTAGTCAGGAACGTCCATAGCCGCCAGTAAGCCCGGGTGGGCTGTCGCAGGACAGCGTGAGATGTGGCCAGTATTTGCGACATCTTTACTGGCTTGCCCCGTGGGTGTCCTGTGTGTCCAAAGCAGTTGCCAGCCCTCCACCCTACACTCCCACTGCCTAACTGTGCATCCCAAGCGAGGCCCTAAGGTGTTTGGCCGCCGCGACAGTGTGGCCTGCAAGATAATTATATGTCTGTATGAGGTGCGCTATGAGCCCCTGGCGGTTCAGCCTGGCAGACTGCGCCCCTGTATGCTCTCGCTCCATGCTCTCTGCGTTCCCAATCAACCCCCAGCCCTCCGTACCCATCGCCAATTATCTCACTCATCCTTTCTCTGTATAACGGAGGATTTAGCGTTTTGATCAAAAAGTGGAGAGGGCAGTTCTTTCCTAAAATTGTGGAGAATCTTCCTATGAACCTTTAAGTCAGTGTTCCCCAACCTTTTTCACTGAGAACCATCACATCGCACACCACCAGCTGAAAATGATCCAGACTTAGAACTCTGCAGCCTTTATTCAATATACAAAGTAATTCTCATCAACGTGTATTACAAAAAGAGAGCAAACAGGTCTTTCTAATCTCCTCACATAGTTTTCCTTTCCCATATTTTGACCAATGAAGTGATATTGGGTCATTTCCAATAACACAACATCTCAAGGCAGACTAAGTTGCCACGGCACTGGTTGAGAAAAACACTGGAAGTCCTGCCCTAAATCAAGCTTTCATTTTGAGCAGTAGCTTTTATTCATGCAGCAACCCTCCTCCTCCCATCGCCTCATCAGCCGGGTCTGCTCTTTAACCCGCCACTACCACCAGGATCTAGGCCCTGAGGGATTTCATCTCATCATTTTTATTTTCTTTTCCCCTCATGCATTTGACGCGCAGTGCTCTGCCAAAGTTAAAGCGCCAAATCGTAACCACATTTTTATGTACAGCACGCAATAAATGGTATTCTTATAGAGACAGTAAACTAATAAATACAATTCCGATAACTCCCTGTTGTCTGTTTGGGTTCCCATGAATTGTAGACATGGAGAAATGATCTTGCTAATGAGCACTTTAAAGCCGGGTTTGGGTTTGAATTGACCAAAGTAAAACGATCCTTGTATAGTTGCTGATATTCTCTGTGTATTCTCAGTGCAAAGCTGATGTTTTGGCCTTTAGTGAATGTAAATAACACTCACTCAGGATCAAATTGAGATGAAAACACTTCTGACTTAATCAACTCTCCCTCAAATGAAACGGAATGGAAAGTCATTTACCGAAGACGCATCTCCTAAATTACATAAGTTAAACAAAGTATCAGTAAAATTACTTTCTGCAAAACGGCCTCTTCACCATCTCGTCCAAATTCTCAAAGCGTCCTGATAAGATGCGGAATGCTAATAATGTTTGAGTTCTTTTCATGGTTTTTTGCTTCCAACCTCTCGACTCGGGCGGGGAATCCACCAGCAAGACTTATCCAACTGACCACATCTGACAGTTCTCCTCTGGGCAGCACCAATACAAAAATAATTTGAGTAAATCTTCTGTCTGTCATGTTGCCTATCTGTAATATATGTACATCTAGTTATCGGGAATCCTTTTGTCTCTCAGCAGTGACAGTAGTGACAGGCACCTGGACAACATGTTTGATTGCCTATTCCCCTCACAACGCGTCTCCAATTTTATGCTTGTTAGGCCTGTTAATAAGACCGGCAAGAAGAGAGCGAGATTTGAGGGCCGTTTGAACTCTTTGATTTGAGAGCCCCATTTGTAATGCTAAGAGGTGTCGTCATATGACACGTAAACACATTGGCTCACAGGATATGGACGTTGTTGCCGTCTGACAGGCCTGGACATGACTGACCACACACACAGCTGCAAAAGAGTGGAAAAAAACACTCTTCTTTGTATGTGCAACACTGCCACTGGCCCGGGCACTGTCTGTTTCCTTTGGGAGCTCCGCTTTACGTCAACATAGTGACAGCACAATAGATTTATTGACAGATGGGTCACATTCAGAGGGCGAGGTTTCATTGGAGAAAATGTAAAAAAATCCCATCTGTATTTGATTTGAATTATTTGCTCAATGGATTAAGGGGAAGAAAATGGATGGATGGACAGATATTTGCTCAAGCAGAAATGGTTACATCCATTCCAGTGGTTCACAATATTTACATTCCTTTGTTTACAGTGATGCAATGATGTATATGATTTACATTGTTTTTCTTTCAGAACATACATTCACATGCAAACATATGTGTACATGTTCTGTCTAATAATGGGAGGATAGATGGATAAGTGTGATTTTAGGCTTCTTCTTAAAGGACTCTTGCTAAAGGGTTGAGTTAATGTATATTATCAATCTTCAATAGTTTGGCAAACCAGATGAGAGGATTATGTGGTTACAGCCATAGAAACAAGCTTTGTTTTATGCACAGCACCTGAGCCAAAAATTAGTGTGAATTGAGGATTCTTGAAAAGTTAGATGGGGCAAAGTTATGAAAAGTTTCTGCCTTAACGACCCAAAGACTATTATCATCATGTATTTTGGGAATGGATGACCCTTTAATTATGAATTAAGCTCCAGACAAAATTAGTCATAATTGGTGAGAGTTTAGTGTTGAATCTTTCAGCTGCAGCCTGAAGCAGCAGACTAAACAGGCGCAGGAATATAATCTTATTGATTAAGTCTCCCCGTTTAAATGAGAATCAATCAGTCTCAATTATTTAGACAGAATTACATGCATTAGTTCTGTTCATTATTGGCACGCAGACAGAGCCCAAAGGAACCTGGGCAAATGACTCCAGCCACCATGTAAAATGAATGATGCAAGGTTAGAGAAAATCAGGACTGTGATTGAAAGCTGTATCTCTAAGTCCATCCATCCATCCATCCATTTTCTACCCTTTAATCCATTTCTGGGTCAGGGGGGTGGCAGTCAGAGATGCCACCCAAGTCTCATAGCACCAGCCCCTCACTGATCCTCTGCAGGTGGTGAGTCCACAGGAGGACGGCTGCTCTCTGAGTGTGAGCATAGCCTTGATCTTTCAGTGGGGGCTTTGGGCAAAGTGGGGTTAAGTGTCTTGCCCAAGGACACAACGACAGCAGTCATCAGTGGGAGTCGGTGGAGAAGGTGCAGAGGTGGGAATTGAACCCACAACCTTCTGGCCTTAAGGCCAATGCTCTACCAACTGAGCTACTATCGCCCTTTGTATCTCTAAGTCGATTTTTTTAAATGTAGATTAGTGGTTCTTTTTGTGTGTCTTATCATTCGTCATAAAACACTCCACAGTGTGTGTTCTTTGTGATGATAAGTGACTGAGTGTCTTTCATATTTACATGCTGCTAAGATCAGTGCAGGGCCTGGAACAGCCTTGACAGAGCCTGTTGATTTCAGATTCCTGTTTCTGCAGTTTCCACAGTATCTCTGCAGCTGCAGCTCTTCATGTGCTGCTGCAGATAAAGCTCACATGTAAAGGCTATCTTTGGTGAATTTAAAATAGGCAGAAAAATACTGAAACATCTCACATGAATAATATACATTCGTGTCTGTATTTGACTCTTCATACAACTCTGTAATCTGTTCCTTTTGCATCAAAGGAAACGCTACATGTAAATGAATAAGCACGAGAGAAAGATGAAGCACCGTGATTAAGTCTTTTCTCCTAAACCCAGGATGTTTTGTTCACTTCTTGTGCGCAGGTTATGTGGCAGCTCCAACTCAAGGACATAGTATTACAAGCCAGCAGAGGCAGCAGTTTGCTAAATGCCATATATCGGTGTAAAAAAGGAGTGATTAACCCTGTCCTACTGTTCGCAGGATGGCTCACAGACTCACACAGAGGTCTACGGCTGCAGGCCACTGAGCTGCACCATGACTCACTCCAACACCAGTGTCCTGACAGGGAACTCCAGCGGAGCTTTAGATGGATATGACTCTGGGGGAAACATCTACAAACCCTTCTCCGTCTTCAGTGTTCTCACACTCACTCTGCTGGCGATGCTGGCAGTGGCCACCTTTGTTTGGAACCTGCTGGTGCTGCTGACCATCCTGAGGGTGCGGACGTTCCACAGAGTGCCTCACAACCTGGTGGCCTCCATGGCCATCTCTGATGTGATGGTGGCCGCTCTGGTCATGCCGTTGAGCCTGGTGCATGAGCTGAATGGGCGGCTGTGGAAGCTGGGCCGTGTGCTCTGTCAGGTGTGGATCTCCTTTGATGTGCTGTGCTGCACGGCCAGCATTTGGAATGTGACTGCGATAGCACTGGACCGATACTGGTCCATCACCAGACACCTGCAGTACACGCTGAAGACACGGAAGAAAATCTCCAACATAATGATCGCACTGACGTGGCTGCTGTCCTCCATCATCTCCCTGTCACCTCTGTTTGGTTGGGGAGAGACTTATTCTGAGGGCATGAAGTGCCAGGTCAGCCAGGAGCCCTCCTACACCATCTTCTCCACCTTCTCGGCCTTCTACCTGCCGCTGTGTGTGGTGCTCTTCGTCTACTGGAAGATCTACAAAGCAGCCAAGTTCAGGATCGGCTCCCGGAAAACCAACAGCATCACACCGATGGCCGAGGTAATGTTTCACTACTCTCTGTTTTAAAGTTTTTACTCCTGGTGCAAGATCATTACCAAAATATGAATATTTTGTTTTATTTGGGTCAAATGAATCATGTCAGTGACTGATTAGCTGAATCATTTCCATTCCCCGTCTGCTGCACAAGCTCCAAACCCTTTATCCTTATCCTTATTATAATCGCCACTTCCAAAAGTGCTTATATTTGCCCAGTTAAATGCCAGCGATAATGCTTCAGTGCTTCAGTGTTTTGTTTAAGCTGTGACATTTGTGCAACGTGATAATTGTAAAAAAATAAGCAATTTATGGAGTTTGCGTTTGACCTTCTAGAAGATGTCCTCCTCCAAATAACCTTGGACCTTTCTTACAATTGTGGTTAATTGTTAACTTGAAGTGTTCCCTTGAGTAACACTATCGATTTTTTTCATTTCTTTTACCATTCTTCTACATTCACAGGCACCAGAACATCCTTGATTTTGTAAAATGACAGTGTATTCAGGACCATGAACTAGTTTTTTATATTGAGACATAGTGGGAAAAATGCGCTGTAGTTAGATTTATGAAAATGAGCCGATTAGAATACGTCCAATCTAAGTTTTGTTTGGCTCGAGCATTTTCCTTAGAATGTCCTGGTTTTACACAGTATTTAGTTCATATGTTCTTGATATCTACTCTCTCAGCTGGAACAAGCAAGTTTCAATTTCAATGAATCTGAGAGACTTTTTAACAGCATTTAGACTGAGCATAAGTATGTCGTCAGCGTACAGACAATTATCATACGACTACAGTAACAATCCACAGCGGCCAAAAGGAAAGGGATAATAACACTCGACTTGTAATGGGCCTTTGTGTGTTTGGCATGTCCCTAATCAGCACACACAAAGCACCGTTGTTGGCCAGACATAAAAAAAAAAACATTTCATCCATAAAATTATCCCTGTGGAAATGGAGGTCCATTTTTCAGATAATGTGGCCCACAAGAGACGGGCAATTATCAGACTTTTTATAACGACCTGGTCCGAGGAAAGGAAGAGCTGAAGTCTGTGTATTTCTTCATTCTGACTTTGAAAGCAGCTTTTTAGATTTGGTTTATCGCAAATTTTTAGTAGAAAAACAAGAGAACAATAAACGAGGTAAGATAAGGTTTATTTAGGTACAGTAGGTCAATATTGATTTCAAACTTTAATATGATATGAACTAAACTATAGACACACATTTCAGTGTGTTGTCGTAAAACATCAGTTAAATTTAAAAAACAAATCTGAACCCTCACTCGGAGGTTCCAGAGACTTCCTCTCTCTGCTCTGGGTCTGGGGCAGTAAATATACAGTGTATATATGAATATACATAGATATATAATGTAAATATATACATATGAATATAAATATCCAAAGTCTGGTTCTAAGAGTCCTTGTTGCACAGATGCATTGTGGGTGCAGGGTTCAGCAGTGGTTCCTCTCCAGTGATTCTTGCCGGATCCTCTGTTCCTTCCCCGCTCTCCCTCCTCTGGGCTCTCTCCTCCTATGGGCTCTCCCTCCTCTGGGCTCTCTCCCTCCTCTGGGCTCTCCCTCCTCTGGACTCTCTCCTCCTCTGGGCTCTCTCCTCCTCTGGGCTCTCCCTCCTCTGGACTCTCTCCTCCTCTGGACTCTCTCCTCCTCTGGACTCTCTCCTCCTCTGGGCTCTCTCCCTCCTCTGGGCTCTCCCTCCTCTGGGCTCTCCCTCCTCTGGGCTCTCTCCCTCCTCTGGGCTCTCTCCTCCTCTGGGCTCTCCCTCCTCTGGGCTCTCTCCCTCCTCTGGGCTCTCCCTCCTCTGGACTCTCTCCTCCTCTGGGCTCTCTCCTCCTCTGGGCTCTCCCTCCTCTGGACTCTCTCCTCCTCTGGGCTCTCCCTCCTCTGGGCTCTCCCTCCTCTGGACTCTCTCCTCCTCTGGGCTCTCTCCCTCCTCTGGGCTCTCTCCCTCCTCTGGGCTCTCCCTCCTCTGGGCTCTCCCTCCTCTGTACTCTCTCCTCCTCTGGGCTCTCTCCTCCTCTGGGCTCTCTCCCTCCTCTGGGCTCTCTCCTCCTCTGGGCTCTCTCCTGTGGGCTCTCTCCTCTGGGCTCTCCCTCCTCTGGGCTCTCTCCCTCCTCTGGGCTCTCTCCTCTGGGCTCTCCCTCCTCTGGGCTCTCTCTCTCCTCTGGGCTCTCTCCTCCTCTGGGCTCTCTCCCCTCCTCTGGGCTCTCTCCTCCTCTGGGCTCTCTCTCTCCTCTGGGCTCTCTCCTCCTCTGGGCTCTCTCCTCCTCTGGGCTCTCTCCTCCTCTGGGCTCTCTCCTCTGGGCTCTCTCCTCCTCTGGGCTCTCTCCTCCTCTGGGCTCTCTCTCCTCTGGGCTCTCTCAACATTTATACATAATTTCCTGCATATTTCACTGAAACAAAACATATTTCTCATTTTGATATAGTTATTTATGATTTCCTGCTTTGGTCCAAGTCTGTTCCATGAGTGTGTGTTTTTAAAAGTCATGACTATCATATTACAGCCGAGATTATTATATTATAGCCATGATTATTCATGATTATTATGAGGTGTGTGATGAGCAAATGCAAATGAGTCTGCTTTCCTCAAGTCACTCGCCGCATCAGCGTTTTTCAGCTGGATCCAAGCGCTGCTCACTCATTCCGAAACACCAGGCTCCTGTAGGTGCACGGACACATTTGGACGTGAGGTCGACTCGTTTCACTGCAATGTTGTTAAATGAGGCCCATTAACTGCTGATTCTGTCAAAATTAGACCAAAAACAATCTCTCCTAAACCTGTTTATGTGAGAACTCTTGAAGTAAGCGCAATAATTGTTATTGAAACAGAGGGAAAATGCTGTAACTGCAGCTAACTGCCAAATGCAAACACAGACACTGAGCAGATTCTGTGTTTTCTTTTGTTTTACAGACAGAATCTGACACTGTGTCATGTGGTGAAATGAAAAAAGGAACCCAAAATGCAGGACTGAAAATAAAATGTAATTTAATCAAATAAATCCAAGGTAACGCAAAAACACAAAAATCCAGAACTGGAAACAGGCCAGGAACAAACGTGGTGCAGACAATGGACGGACAGCAAGTGGCACAGGGACTAACTACACACAGGGACTAACTACACACAGGGACTAACTACACACAGGGACTAACTACACACAGGGACTAACTACACACAGGGACTAACTACACACAGGGACTAACTACACACAGGGACTAACTACACACAGGGACTAACTTCACACAGGGACAAGTGGGGAAAAGCACAGGGACTAACTACACACAGGGACACATGGAGAAAAGCACAGAGACTAACTTCACACAGGGACACATGGAGAAAAGCACAGGGACTAACTTCACACAGGGACACATGGAGAAAAGCACAGGGACTAACTTCACACAGGGACACATGGAGAAAAGCACAGGGACGAACTTCACACAGGGACAAGTGGGGAAAAGCACAGGGACTAAATACACACAGGGACACGTGGAGAAAAGCACAGGGACTAACTACACACAGGGACTAACTACACACAGGGACAAGTGGAGCAAAGCACAGGTACAGTATAAATACACACTGGGACACGTGGGGAAACACGTAGTAGTAGTAGTTTATGTTCTACTACATGAGGGCAAACATTCATCAGGAGACAGGAAGAAAACTCAAATTACAAGAGAACAAAAACACAACTTTCTGAGCAGTTACTGTCAAATGTTTTTGGTTTTATTCTAAAATGGGACAAAATACAACACCATTCAATGTGTGGACAAAAATAATTCTTAGTTTAGTTCAACAGTTTATGATTTCCCCCATGTTTTCTGAAACTTTTAACTGCAAATTGACCATTTTTGAGGTACACATCAAAAAGGTTTACACACACACACTCACACACACACACACACACACACACACACACACACACACACACACACACACACACACACACAGCTTTCTTCCGTTGAAATATTTGAACATATTTCATTTCGTGGTTCATTCTACACTTAGACACAGCCGTGGTCTTAATAATCAAACAGATTTACAATGACAACAATCCCATCTTTAGGATTGAAATAAACCTGTAGAATCATATTTGTTCCGTTTCTGTTTCATGCCGGTGAAAGCCAAGGAGTTTCAGAGATACTAACCATGAAAAGCAGATGAAAACAGAATGGCACAAGTTGGAGTAGACTGATCTCAGGTCTGATTACGCCAATCACTCCAGCCTCCACGCCACTTACACATGCGCTGCTTTATTAGCTCTCTGCTTTTCATGAAGACATATTCGCTCGCATTTTGTGCTTGTTTCGTGTTTTTGACGCGCTTTAATTGCATCTAATACTGGTGCACGAGGCAGCAGATGCGGACGTATACGGCTAAGTGCTTAAAGAGGGAGACGCTGGCACTGGCTCCACCATCACTGATAATAATTCCACTGCACTTGTGAATTTGCAACACCTACTCAAGGATCCGACATGCACGTACTGAAGCACGCGAGCAGAGCAGCCTGGGGAAGGAGACCCAGGACTGTGTAAGTAAGTAAGTAAGTAAGTTATTATTTATATACCGCCTTTTCACTGCAGATCTGAGTCTCAAAGCGGTTTACAATTGTTAATTTTGGGCATTTGTCTCTCACTCCACACAGAGATGGGAGCGGGGCCAGTACAGGAGGCACATGCCAGAACTATTGGACATATTTTTAGTGGTAGGGGAAACCGGAGTACCCGGAGGAAACCTACGCAGACACGGGGAGAACATGCAAACTCCACTCAGAAAGGCCCTGGTCCGGCCGGGATTCGAACCCAGGACCTTCTTGCTGAGAGGCGAGAGTGCTATCCACTCAGCCACCGTGCCGCCCAGTGCAGGAGAGATTAGTGAGGGAGAATGTATAGGGAACTTATGACAATAGACACAAGACTTAAAAGGATTGCTTTGCCTTGTTGTGTTTTGGAATTTAACAAGAAAGAAAGTTATCACCACATGAACACAACATATGT